TGGAAGAGAAAGTATACTTGGCTACTGTTGAGTGGAGTATTCAGTATATGTCTGTGGGATCCAGTTGGTTGATTCTGGTGTTTATATCTTCTGTATCCTTATTGAGCTTCTTTCTGACTGTTCTGTCCTTCACCTAAAGTGGTATGTTGAAGTCACCTACTATTATTGTGGAGCTGTCTATTTCTCTTTTCAATGCTGTTAGTGTTTATGTATTTTGGAGCCCTGTGTTGGGTGCATAAATATTTATTATGGTGATGTCTTCCAGGTGTATTGACCCTTTAATCATTATATAGTATCCTTCCATATCCTTTGTGGTGGATTTTGCTTTAAAGCCTGTTTTGTCAGAGATTAATATTGCCACTTCTGCTCTTTTTGATTGTTGTTTGCTTGATATATATTTTTTTCCATCCTTTGAGTTTTTGTGTCTTTAAGTCTAAGGTGTGTCTCTTGTAGGCAGCATATAGACAGATCGTGGTTATTATTCATTCTACCACTGTCTGTCTCTTTATTGGTACATTTAGTGCACTTACATTTAGTGTAATTATTGATAGGTATGAGTTTAGTGCTGATATTTTGATGTATTTTTTTGTGTGTTGTTGACAGTTTCTTTGTTACACTTAATTTTCTGTGCTGTTGTTTTTGTTTTCATCTTTTTCATTGTTGTTGATTTTGTATTTGCTGAGTCTTTATGTTTTTCTTGTTTTTCATTTTGATGTGTAGCATTGTTAGTTTCCTTTGTGGTTACCTTAATATTTACCCTATTCTCCTAAGTTTAAGTCAATCTTTTCTTTCTTTATATCGCCTTGATTTCCTTCCCATATGAAAGATCTGTGATTACAGTATTTTGTCCCTTTTTTAATATTGTCATCTTTTACATATTGACATCTCTGTTTCCCTATTTTAAGTGTTTTACGTCTGATTTATTTTTGTGACTTCCCTATCTGGGTTGATGTCTGGTTGTTCTGTCCTGTGTTCTAGTCTTGGGTTGTTACTTGATGTTATTGATTTTCTAACCAGAGGACTCCCTTTAGTATTTCTTGTAATTTTGGTTTGGTTTTTACAAATTCCCTAAACTTCTGTTTATCTGGAAATGCCCTAATTTCACCATCATATTTGAAGGACAGTTTTGCTGGATATATAATTCTTGGGTGGCGGTTTTTTCCCTTCAAGGCTTTATATATGTCATCCCATTGCCTTCTTGCCTGCATGGTTTCTGCTGAGTAGTCTGAGTTTATTTTTACTGACTTTTCTTTGTGGATGTGTTTTCGTTTATCCCTAGCCTCTCTTAAAATTCTCTTTATATTTGGTTTTGGTAAGTTTGATTATGTCTTGGTGACTTTGTTTCCGGATCTACCTTACGTGGGGTTAGATGAGCATCTTGGATAGGTATCTTCTCATTGTTCACAATATCAGGGAAGTTTTCTGCCAACAAATATTCAACAATTCTCTCTGTATTCTCATATCCTGTCCTGTTCTGGTACTCAGTCACACGTAGGTTAGATCGAGTCCCACATAATTCTTAGGGTTTCTTCATTTTTTTAAATTCTTTTATCTGATTTTTCCTCAAATAAGTTTGTGTCAAGTGCTTTATCTTCAATCTCAGTAATTCTAACTTCCATTGCCTCAGTTCTGCTCCTATTGTCTAGTTCTGAAATTTTATTGGTAATCTTTTGGATTTCTATTTGCTGTCTCTGTGGATTCTTGCAGCCTGTTAGATTTGTCATTATGCTGTTGTATAACCCTTAAGTTAGTCTGTTGCTTTGTCTGTGTGTTCCTTGGCTCATTCTGCATTTTGCCTGATCTTCTTCCTGATCTCTTGAAGAGTTCTGTATATTAATCTTTTGAATTCTACCTCTGGTAATTCCAAGAAGTTCTTTTCCTCCGGAAGGTTTCTTGAGTCTTTGTTTTGGTGGCTTCCTGAAGCCATGATGGTCTGCCTTTTTATGTGATTTGGTATTGACCATTGTCTCTGAGCCATCAATAAATTACTATATTTTATGTTTGCTTATTGTGTCCTAGTTTCTTGTTTTGTTTCGATATGCCCAGATTAGCTGGTCATGTGAGATACTTTGATTATTGGTATCTTCGAAGCTCTCAAGTCCTATATCCAGGTGGCTAGAACTGTTACTAGGTATGTGAGCTGAGGAGTCCACTTACTTTTCTTGTATCGATTCAGCTCACATGTCCAGGTCATCAGTCACTGAGTGTTTGGTCCTAGACAGGCAGGGGTGATTGGAGTAGGCACAGGTATCTGTCTGCCATAGGGGGTCATGTGCTGATCAAGGCAGGATGCCAACTGCTGCCCGAGTATCTGGGTGGAAGGCGTGTCCCTGTTCCCTAGAGCGTGTAGGTAGGTGTGTTTTGCAGCTGGACTGTGGGCGCTCTATACTGTTGGCTAGCAAGGACTGGGAGCCACCAGTCCTCAGGCCCCTGATGTGGGTAGTTGACAACCCTGCTTAATGGGCAGGGTGTCAGATATCATGACTTAGCAACTCTCCCTTATAGCTGATACAGATGAAAGTAGGCTTCAGGTATAATACCCTGTTGTATTGTGGTCATGAGGGCTTCTGCTGTTGAAACGGGCCCACACAAGTCTATGCTGGGGTGAAAGGCATTCAGTCCGTGGACCCCTTATCACTATGCCTAGGCAAAGGGGCTGTGCCTGTCCTACGTTCTTGGCTTAGGGGAGCTGGCAGATTATTTTTTCCTGTTAATTTGTTCCCTCTCCAAAGCTGGGAGAATGACTCAGGGTGTGTGATGGGTCCTGCTTCCAGCCCAGGTGGCTCAGCAATCCCTGAAGCCTGGCCAGGACTGGAGCAGAGCAGGGAGGGGGCAGGTAAATGTGAGAGAAGTACTTCCCAAAAGGGTTTTTTTTTTTTTGATCCACGCAGTTAAGTAAGATGCTAGTACTTACCTTTCACCAATTGGGTGCCGTTTCTTGCTGGTTCTAGATGCTTGAGCACTCTGCCGCTTGGTCTCTCCCGAGGTGGAAAATGCATGCCGAACACCACTGCTTGCCTCATCCCTCTCGCGCCAGCAGATCCCGCCTGCAGGGTGTTGAGGCTGGCCAGGTCAGGTCTGGCAACTCCTCGCTGCTTCTGAACCATCTCTTCCTCCCCCTGCTGCTCAGTCCAGTTCCTTGACTTTGTCTTTGATGTTCAGGGCTCCTAGATTGTCATATATGATCAATTCACTTGTTTTTTCGGGTCTTTGTTGCAAGAAGGACCACAGGAAGCATCTGACTACTCTGCCATCTTGGCCCCGCCTCCTAATATTAATTTTGTAAATTTTGTAAAATTAATATTAATTAAAGCCATGAATTAGACTGGATAATTATAAGAACAGCATGGAGGTAGTGGTCTGACCTCCTCTTCACAAGAGGGAAGGATAATCAAGATCAGCAGCCCAGGGCTGATTACTGTGAGTTGGAGGTCAGACATGCCTCCTTGTCTCTGCCATGTTTACCGGTTTTGACACCAGCTGTCCCTCCTACAGCACTCTCTACTTCTCTGCTGGGTTCAATAATTCATTGCAGTGGCCACACAGAACTCAGAGACGATACTCATGATTAGGGGGTTTGTTAGGGAAGTAACAGGTTACAGTTCAGGCTCGGGAGCACTCAGGATACAGTTCTTCCATCAGGACAGCCTCTTTCAGCTGTGCTCACAGGCACACCTCTTTCTGGCCCTAGGCCTCTGCCCTGCTCAAGCGTTACAAAGCTCTTTTAGCCCCTGCCAATAAGTCTCCAGAGGCACCCCACGGCACTCAGCTTTCTTGCCGTCTCCTACTATTGTTTCTCTGCCACCACTTCTCAAGCTCTCTGTCTCAGGGTTCCAGGAGCTTCTCAGCACAGGGATCTCGGGTCCAAAGGGCATGCTCTTTGCCCCTGGCTGTTCTGCCTTAGTGGTGATGGATTCCTCTCCTTTCCTACCTTTGGGATGGCTCACCTCCAGCCCAGTGGGATGGCAAAAACTGACCAGTCCCTTTAGTGGGCCACAGTTACCCTATCTGCACAGTCCCTGCCCAGTTACTTGGGTGGGAGTTACAAGACCATGGCGAGAAAGGCCACACAAAAGCAATCCACAGCACTGCAATATTAAATTAAAAAAAAAATCAGGCTTTAGCGAAGACCCTCACTCATACTATAGGATGCTTAGGTTTAACTTTTTTGTGGCCGTTACGTAAAGGAATAATTCATATCCAAAACAGCAACACTAGTACTATAGGATACCTACTGGAGTATGTATAAACTTCATGAGGATAAAGGACTGGGTTTTATTTACTTTTGTATCCTCACAGTACTTAGCAGTGTACTGTGTATAGGAATTGAATGCCATGTTTCATTCATTCTAACACTTTTTTTTACATTTATTAGTGAAATTGGGATGCATCAGAAAAACCATGCCTTTTTAGCATTGTTGTCTCTGTGGTGTATAAAATAGCGGCACCTTTTTAAATTGGCGACTTAAATTTGATCAAAACAATTTTTAAATTGATGCCTAATCCAACTGCCAAAAAAGGATCTTTTATTCCCCTCCATCCTTCAGTCTTTATTTTTACTTAACCTCTTTTTTGAGGTCTGCCAGTAGTACTTATGGAGCTAAAAAGTTAGTTAATGTGAAGACAAATGAAGTAGGTGTTTAGGTTGGTTTTGCTGTATACAAGCACGTTCACAAACTAATGGTCCCAACAAAGCCTGTAAAAAGAATCTTTCATTACTCCCCAACTATAACATTTCCACCTTGTCATGAAAATGAGTTCTGTACATTTACCTGAGGAAATGGTACTTTTTTATAGCTCTGAATTTTTTAAAGAAGATGGATCTTTAAAGGAGGTACATAAGATAAATGAAATGTATGCTTCGTTACAAGAGGAATTAAGGGTAAGTTATCAGAACACTTAAAAACCACTTCTTGAGTTCACATCACAGCGATTACTGGCAGATTTTTTAGGGATAACCTGACATTTTGGTTAGATTTATATTATTCTATCAGTCAGTATTCCTGCAGTAATAAAGACCCAAAATCTCAGTGCCTCGCAACGAAAGAGATTTATTCTTACATTAACATTTTGGCTGCAGCTCTGCTCCTATTCCAAATGTCATTTTCAGTCCAGGATCCAGGCTAAGGGATCAGCCCTTATCTGGGACATGCTATTCTCACAGCAAACAGAAAAGAGTAAGAAGGCTGACAGAAATTCACAACATGTCTTAAAACTTCTGCTCAGAACTGGCACGTCACTTCTGGCAATAGGCAGGGATATATAATCCTTTTACAGTACAAAGAGAGAATAATACAGTCTACCACAGTATTAAGTTCTGTCTCACTGTGTCATTTTGGGTCCTTTGAGAAGTAGACATCAAGACAAGTTTAGATGTGCAGGAGATTTATTGGCTTGAGAAGGATAAAGTAGGTAGAGCAGGTAGGCAGGGAGAACCTTTAGACTACAGTGCAAGTCTGACACCTGAGAAGAGGGGTGGGTGGGGTGGGAAAGACTGGGTAGAAGCATCTCAGTCTCCACTGCCATTCTATGAAAATTTCAGCTGAGACAGTTTAGGAGTACTCAAAATGAAGTTTGCATTAGAGGAATTCCACATCCTGCAAGAATGGACTTGCACTAATACCCACACTGTGCTAAGTCATTGGCTAGGAGCAGCCTGGAGGAATAGCATGGCCTAAGTGCAAACAGTAGTGGATCCAAAAGAGTAGCAGCTGAAGCTGTGAGTCAACTATGCTCTTCCAACAAGAGAGCTAAGGGGTGTATTTCCATGGCCTACATACTCTTCAATGTAAAACACCAAGAGAAAGGGGCTTAATTCATTTTACACACTACTACTACTACACGCTATTTTTTAAATATGTATGGTAATACAGAAGCGCACAATTTTAATGTAATTCTGATTTTGCCGTATTCTCTTCCAGTTTTTTCCTAATATATATATAAACACCTTTACATAGTTGGCAGTCATGGGACCATGTAAATTTGTATCTTGATTTTTCATTTGATACATCAAACATTTTTCATGTTGCTACAGTCTTTAGTTATAACTGCAATATATTGTCTTCAGTTATTTTTAATGGCAATATATTTCAGAGAGCTGTACATTAGAACACTTAAGTTAAAAGTACCAACTCGGGATAAAATAGGGGAATGTAGAAGTATGTCACAGGAACTGTGGGCTTTAGGAAGGAATTAGAATCAAAAGCTGGAAAGCCATCACATCTTTTCCCATGTCTGCACAGTGGTTTCGTTCTTCATTTATCTACAGATCTTTCTGTGTCTTCATCCACTGGTAGACCACAGTATGGCTAGTGCACAGTTCCTATGTTTACATCTCTTCTGTTGAAGAGATTAGGATTTACCTATTGGCTTTGTAATGTTTCCAAATTCTCAGGAGACCATCTGATTGGTTCTACCTGGGTCAGCTAGGGGGAAGGTAGGGTGAAAGTGAGGGACAGAAATACATGAAGGGGTTACTGGCCAACTCTTACGGGCAGAATGAATATGTTCCATGAGAAATAGGCTGGGTAGACACCTAAAAAGTATTCACTAAAACTGGCTATAATAACTTTATTATCCTGTAAGTGGACATTAGTGATTTTTGTTTTGATATTATACTTTTATATAAACTTTTGTTCTTTAGTTAAGATATATTCCCAAAATGGAATTACTTAGTCAAAGTGTATTAGTACTTTTAAAACTGATGACACATAAGGCAAGACTAGTTTTCAAAAGTACTTTCTCTTACAGGAATTAACATCTTCAGTAGTTTGCTTTCACAACAGTAAAACAGTCTCTTCTTTGTTTTCATTTATTATCAGTTTCTTAATGTTAAATGTGTACAGTAACTATGCATCTCTAACTTTATAATAGTACAGTATTTTTTTGTTTTGAGTTAAAATATTGCTTCGGGTTTTTATTTCTGTGTATTATCAAGGAAATAACTGACATGATAAAGCTATGTATAAAAGAAAAATAATATATCTGGAAAGCATTTTATAACATATAAAGCACTACACAAGTGCTTATTATTATTGAATTCCTCCAGGAAATAGCACAATGAAATTTATATAAAGGCAGTGGTATCTGATATTAAGTATTACCAAAGATTTTATATTATTTTTGAATCTAGACTATGTGCATAACTTGAAATTTTATCTATGCCCTTATTTTGCAGAGTATATGCAAAAAAGTGGAACACAGTGAGAGAGCAGTAGAGAAACTACTGGAAGATGTAAACAGATTAAAACAAGAAATTAAAAAGAGAAAACAAGCACAGATCCAAGTAGCAGGTACTAAATAACAAGTTAACACATCAGTATTTCTTGAGCTTTAAAAAAAATTCTCACTGATTTGAATTCATGTATGAGCCAACTGCACTAACTACAATGAATTTGTCCACCTTGAGGTTAAAAGTAGTCATTTTATTCTTAAACAGCACTGAACAAAGAACATGGTATTACAATAGCTATGCTATATTGTTGATATTAAAGAATATAACTTAAATTTAGTTTTCTGTTAGAATATTGTGTGACTTCACAAAATCTGAGTGAAAGCAAAAATATAAGTACAGTACAAAAGCCTGCTAATAAAAATTTATAATTTTGCGATGGTACATATTGTGTTTCTCACTGTAGATAATTTGATATAATTTTTTAGTTAAAATCTTTAAGTGTACTAACAACTAGCTAATTATAATAGCTTGTGGAGCAAATATTGTATATTGAACTGTTATTTTATTTTGTTTAGGAGAGAAGAATGTCCCAGAGGAACCTCAGGAGAACACTTTTCTTTGTCAAGCTTTACAGACCCTATTTCCAGATTCTGAATTTCTTCATTCATGTGTTATCTCTTTGAAAAACAGGCACATTTCTAAAAGTTGCTGTAACACCAACCACCATCTTGATATGGTAGACAGACTGACCTTAATGGTAGAATACACTGACGTTCCTGAATCTAGTCAAGCTTGTACACAGCAAATAATTAAGCGTAAAGCATTAGACATGGGTGATGGATGGCAATTCAAGAAATCACGGCTGCTGGAGATACAAAACAAACAATCTAAAACTGATACTGATAGTAGTAACCAAGAAAAAGCATCCACAGTGAGCAGTCCAGAAACTGATGAAGACATTGAGAAAATGAAGGGTTCTGGTGAATATCCACAGTCTCCTACATTTTAATCCTTTTAGGCAAAAAAGGAGATTTTTGATTGGCTGAAGGGTAAAGCCAAACATTTCTATTGTTTTTATTATGTTGTGCTATTTGCAGTAATAAATTCTAATTCATGTATTTTATAAAGTACTTTTTGAAACATCAGAAGCTTTTAAAATCAAACCTTTTTTGCTTCTAAAATGTTTAAATAGATGCATTCTTCTAAGTTTGTACAGCATTCTTTAGAATTGGAAAAGATAAACTAACATTTTCACAATGTAGAAAGAAGTTAATATGAAAATTTATTTTTACCTAAGTCATTGAAGTTCCTATTCCTTAAGTGATGGTAAATAGTACATTATGGCTAGGGTTGGCAGATGAAACACTGGATACCATGCAGTATTTGGGACATATACTAAAAAATTCATTGTTTCAGCTTTTTATTTTTGTATATTATCTAGGAAATAACTGATAAAGCTATGTATAAATGAAAGTAATGAGTAATGACAATTTAATGGTTTATCTGAAATTCAAATTTAACTGGGTGTCCTGTGTTATTATTTGCTAAATCTGACATCCCCTAATTATGGCACAGCTAGAATGCAACACAAACAGCAGTCTATCCCTGGTCTAAAGTCCTCCCTACACAAAATTTGAGTATGGTGTTTCATTCTGCTGTACAAAGGGTTGCTATGAGTTGCAGCTGACTGGACAGCACCTAACATAAGCCTAATCCAACATGTTTAGGATCAGCAGTTGGCTAGTTAAAGTACGGAATCAAGGACGTTATGTGTGTGTATATATACAGATACATATATGTGTATGTGTGTGTGAACGTATATCACAAAGATTTTAACAAAGTAGAAATGTACATTTATTTGCCAACCTTTTGGTATAGAGCCAGGATTCTAAAAGTAAAAGTTCACTGATTGGAGTTCCTATGTAAATCATACTCATTACTCAGCCTTTATAATTACCAGTTTTGGTTTCTTTCAAGTAAAGTAAGAAGTTAAACTTGCAGAACAGCCTAAGTGTAAAATGTAAGTAGGTTTTTCATTTTCATAGCACCCTCCCACCCCAATCTTTGAGTTGTCTTAGCCACAGCTAATTTGAAAACTTTTTTAAAGCTAGTTATCAAGTCTTCCCAAAGCATTCACTTAGTTTTCATGCCAACAGTAACTATTCTTTTATGATTCTTGGCAATGCAGAACTCACCAGTAGGAGAGTCACAGGCTTCAGTATGATTTTTAGGGAGGATATAAAGACCTAATTTAATCCGGTTAGCTGGTTAGGAGCTTTTACTGTACATGCAGATGTGTTCATGTCTTTTCCACAACTGTGCTGTATATGCAGATGTAATTAATGTCTTCTCCACACTTAGAAGAATTTCCCATTAAGGGTACAATATTCATATGCCTACAAGACGACCAGTTATTGACTATTATTCAAATTTACACACCAACCACTAAGGCCAAAGATGAAGAAATGGAAGATTTTTATCAACTTCTGCAGTCCGAAATTGACTGAACATACAATCTGGATGCATTGATAATTACTGGTGATCGGAATGCTAAAGTAGTTGGAAAATATGGCCTTGATGATAGAAACAATGCCAGAGATCACATAATAGAATTTTGCAAAACCAACGATTTCTTCATTGCAAATACCTATTTTCACCAACATAAAACGGCGACTATACACGTGGACCTTGCCAGAGGGAATACACAGGAATCAGACTACATCTGAGGAAGGAGACGATGGAGAAGCTCAATATCATCAGTCAGAACAAGGCCGGGGCCAACTGTGGAAAAGATCATCAATTGCTGATATGCAAGTTCAAGCTGAAACTGAAGAAACTTAGAACTGAAACTGAAGAAACTTAGAACAGTCCACAACAACCAAAGTACGACCCTGGGTATATTGTACCTGAATTTAGAGACCATCTCAAGAATAGACTTGACGCACTGAACACTAATGACCAAAGAGTTGTGGAATGACATCAAGGACATCATAACATGAAGAAAGCAAGAGATCATTAAAAAGACAGGAAAGAAAGAAAAGACCAAAATGGATGTCAGAGAAGACTCTGAAACTTGGTCTTGAACGTCAAGTAGCTAAAGCAAAGTGAAGAAGTGATGAAGTAAAAGAGCTGAACAGATTTCAAAGGGCAGCTTGGGAAGACAAACTAAAGTATTATAGTGACATGTACAAAGACCTGGAGAAAGAACACCAAAAGGAAAAAACATGCTCGGCATTTCTCAAGCTAAAAGAACTGAAGAAGAAAATTCAAGCCTCAAGGTGCAATACTGAAGGATTCTATGGGGAAAATATTAAACAACACAGGAGGTATCAAAAGAAGATGGAAGGAATACACAGAGTCATTATACCAGAAAGAACTGGTTACGTTCAGCCATTTCAGGAGGTAGCATATGATCAAGAACCAATGGTACTGAAGGAAGAAGTCCAAGCCGCACTGAAGGCATTGGCAAAAAACAAGGATCCAGGAAGTGATGGAATACCAATTGAGATGTTTCAGCAAATGGATGCAGTGCTGTAAGTGCTCACTCATCTAGCCAGGAAATCTGGAAGACAGCTACCTGGCCAACTGACTGGAAGAGATCCCTATTTCTGCCTATTCCCAAGAAAGGCGAACAAACCAAATGCGGAAATTATCGAACAATATCATTAATATCACACACAAGTAAAATTCTGGTGAAGATCATTCAAAAGCAGCTACAGCAATATATCAATGGGGAACTGCCAGATATTCAAGCTGGATTCAGAAGAGGTCATGGAACCAGGGATATCGCTGCTGATGTCAGATGGATCCTGGTTGAAAGCAGAGAATACCATAAAGATGTTACCTGTGTTTTAATGACTATGCAAAATCATTCGACTGTGTGGATCATAATAAATTATGGATAACACTGCAAAGAACGGGAATTCCAGAACACTTAATTGTGCTCATGAGGAACCTGCACATAGATCAAGAGGCAGTCACTCGAACAGAACAAGGGGATACTGTGTGGTTTAAAGTCAGGAAAGGTGTGCATCAGGGTTGTATCCTTTCATCATACCTACTCAATCTGTATACTAAACAAATAATTCAAGAAGCTGGACTGTATGAAGAATGGGACATCAGGATTGGAGGAAGACTCATTAACAACCTGTGTGTTATGCAGATGACATAACCTTGCTTGCTGAATGTGAAGAGGACTTGAAGCATTTACTGATGAACATCAAAGACCACAGCCTTCGGTATGGATTACACCTCAACATAAAGAAAACAAAAATCCTCACAATTGGATCAATAAGCAACATCATGATAAACAGAATAGACTGAATTTGTCAAGGATTTCATTTTACTTGGATCCACAATCAACAACCATGGAAGCAGCAGTCAAGAAGTTAAAAGACACATTGCATTGGTCAAATCTGCTGCAAAAGACTTCTTTAAAGTGTTGAAAAGCAAAGATGTCACCTTAAAGGCTAAGGTGCACGTGACCCAAGCCATGGTGTTTTCAGTCACCTCATATGCATGTGAAAGCTGGACGATGAATAAGGAAGACGAAAGAAGAACTGACACCTTTGAACTGCGGTGTTAGTGAAGAATACTGAATATACCATAGACTGCCAAAAAAAACCCCAAATCTGTCTTGGAAAAAGTATAACCGGAATGCTCCTTAGAAGCAAAGATGGCAGGATTATGTCTCACTTCGGACATGTTATCAGGAGGGATCAGTCCCTGGAGAAGGACATCACGCTTGGTAAAGTAGATGGTCAGCAAAAAACACGAAGATCCTCGACAAGATGGATTGACACAGTGGCTGCAACAATGGGCTCAAACAGAGCAATGATTGTGAGGATGGTGCAGCACCGGGCAGTGTTTTGTTCCGTTGTACGTAAGGTCGCTATGAGTCGGAACCTACCTGACAGTACCTAACAACATAAACATCACATGAAGCTGTCACCACATGTTGCTCACTGGTGAAATGCTGAACACACACTTTGACCTTTGCTCCTCTGCCCATTACTTCCTAAGTGAGATGGGAGCAAATTTATCCTAGTATCAAGAAACGATTATCATCTGTGTGTTAACCTGCATTACCATGGGGTGTTTATGAGGCCAGCATAATACCAGAGATGATTTGTGCAAATAATGAATTTCTGATGCTGGGGTGGTAGTTTACTGGTTACACAGGAAATGCTGTGGTGGTACACACAGGGGCAGGAGGGGAAAAAGGGTTGTCAGTCTGACCTCTAATTTAAAAATAACCCCTGAAGACATGATTATTGGTCTCTTTCCGTCCGGAGCAAAGAAGAGTGAAGAATCCTAAGATTCAAGGAAGCAATTAGTCCATAATGGACCACAGGAACTACAGCCTCCACCAGCCTGAGACCAGAAGAACTAGATGGATCCCAGCTACCACAATGAGTGCTTTGACCAAGATCACAAGGTAAGGTCCCAGTTAGAGTGGGAAAAAAACGTAGAACAAATCATAAAGTCCAAACTTACTGGTCCAAAAGGGACTGGAGGAACCCCCGAGACTATGGTCCTTAGACACCCTTCTAACTTGGAACTGAAGCCACTCCCAGAGAGCACCTTTCACTGAAAAAATAAGCCATGAGGTGTTACTGTTCATCTATATAATGATCATCTACATGAGAACAAACATCATTCGTATGAGATCAATCTCAGAACGATCATCTGTATGAGACCAAAAGGACAACATCATCCCAAAAGCAAAGATGAGAAGGCAGGAAAGGGCAAGAAAACCAGATCAGTAGAAGCAGGGAACTTGATAGTGGGGATAGTGCTGACACACTGCGGGGACTGCAGCCAATGTCACAGAATAATCTGAATAAATTATTGAATGAGAAACTAATTTGCTCTGTAAACCTTCACCTAAAGCACAATTAAAAATAATAACCAAAATCATCACCAGAGCATACAGAGTTTACCACATAGAACATAGATAATGACAGAAAATGCAACCAACAAATGAACAAAACTAGATACTCAGGCTAGAGAGATGAGGAACAGTAGAAGCTACAAATAGCCAACATACGCAAATGTCTTAAGACAGTACCTCAAGAGACTTTTCAAAGACTGCTTACATACTTGCTCAAACTCAAATCTGAAAACAGGCCTTCATACAAAGCTCAATTTGCTAAAATGTTAAAGAGGTACAAAATATTTAGTTCACACTTTGCACAATGATCTATCTCCTTTGAAGAGAGCAATGCTAAGCCTTCAGCCATAGGTAAGCTTGCTGAATTCAGTAGACAGCTGAACTTCCACAACTGATGACCCAACTTTCAGGGTATCAAATGAACTAGAGGAAAAGAGTCCTTGTAAGACTTTTTTTTTTTTTTTTGCCAGTTACTGTCTATCTTTTGGCAATTGGCTTGTATGTCTGGAATGAGATAACTGATAACAGATTACATACAAATTATCAGTTTATTTCAAAGGACACACTATTGATTTGAGAATAGAACAGTCCGAGAATAAATGCTGTGTCCTTCTGTGACAGCACCACTATCCATCCCCCAAGTAACATCTCTACAAAAAGACTCATTCTTATCAAGTCATACTTACATATTTGCTAGTTAGGGAATCATTCAGAGCTATTTCAACTCCACAGCCAGTCACATGGGATACATACATTATATATGCATTCCACCTTCCTGCACCTATGAATGTCTCATTTATAAGACAGAGTCTGGGCCTAAAAATTCCAACACAAGCAATACCTCCCATATTTACTATCAGCATCACTGCCAGTATCGGTGGTAGATTATTGTATGAGCTATGTGGAGACCAGATATGTGACACCATACAGTACCAATTTTACTGATTCAAGATATGTAAAATGTAATGAATATTAACATTTTAGAAAGTATGTGACCTGTTTTCTTCAATGAACATTAACTGGTATGGAGGGGAAGCTTTACTCATCTCATTCTTGAAACTACTTTTTTCCCATAAAATTTCAAAGTTCTTCAACCAGAAATTCTTAATAAATAATACAGTAAGATTTAACTTACCTCTTAGTTTTCTACCCAAAGGTTAAATTTTATAATCTGAATCAGTATTAGCACCACAAAACCATTTATTATAAAATACGTTTACTGGTAATAATTTTATATAATTTATTCCCGATATTTGATGTTACAAACTTTAGGGTCTTTGAGATACGCAGGATCCTTGTATGTAACTGGCATAAACCCTGTAAAGAAATAAAGTTCTTCATAAAAGATAATGAACAAAATTTTAATCAGCCCAACTCCGTTGTTCAGTTGTTCTTACCCATTATTTGAGCCCTCTTAATTGCTTTCGTGATTTCTTTCTGTTTCTTCCCACAAAGACCTATAAAAGAAAAAGGGAACACATTCTTAAGAAAATGCCAGTATTCAAAATTTATAACAACTGTCTAAGTCAAAAGTCAGCAAACTTTTTCTGTAAAGGACCAGGTAGTAAACGTTTTAGACTTGGCGGGTCATACAGTCTTGGTGGCAACTATTCAACCCTGCTGTTTTAGCTCGGAAGCAGCCACAGACACTATGTAAACAAAACTATTACAAAAACAGATGGCAGGTTGTATTTGGCCCGTGGGGCATAGTTTGCACAGCTGGTTTAAGTAATTGTTTAAGAATGATTATAAACCAAACCCATTGACATCAAGCTAATTTCAACTCAGCAACCCTACAGGACAGACTAGAACTGTCCCTTAGGGTTTCCAAGGAGCAGCTAGTGGATTAGAACTGCCAACCTTTTGGTTAGCAGCTGAGCTCTTAACCACTGCACCACCAGGACTCCAAGAATGATTATATACACTCCAAAACATCAAGAACACAATTTCTTTTAAAGCTCAAAGTTTTCTGTATGTTGTCAGCCCAGTTATCTCTGAACATAAGAAGACATACAAAATAATAGTAATCCTATTGGCCTAAAAAGAGAGTTTCCCAGAGCACCTAAATCCAGTCCCTGAGTATCTGGTCTAATTATGATTTATAGCACTATTTGAAAATTTGCTAGTTATCTTAAATGAGAGAAGGGAGTTTAGAAAATTATCTAAATTTAAATTGCTACAATAAAAAGCAAAATACCTGTTATATGCCTTCCATAAATGCATCCAGTAAATGGAGAAATAAACTGGGACAAAAGCTGTTTTTTTTATTTGGAGGAAAAAAATTTATATTAGTATGATTGTAAATTTTAACAGTCAAACTTTATATGCCATCTTCAAGTTACGTAAAGGCTTATTAGTAAACTTCAAACTTCATAAAATATGAATAACTATTTGGCTCATCCTATCAACAAGTCCTCTTTTAAAATAACAAATCAACTAAAGTTAACAGCTCTTTTATCCAGCTGTCACAAAAGAAAGTCTATACAAGTACACAACACAGATTAATCAGGATACTCTTTCAGCGGTAAAGCTGCTTCCTTGATGTCCACAGGTATCTTTCTAAAATACTGCTGCTTATGACAAGGTACTATTCCATAATTTCATCTATCATGATAGGCTATTACATAATCATGAAGATGAATTATCATAGTGGGGTACTGAAGTACATGGGGCCATTTCCTGTACTTTTGTTTTATAACCTCTTTAGCACTGTTGTTGGCACTTTAGTTGCACTTTTACAATTTGCTTTTTCTCCCTCAAAGGCAGCTATCACTTTATACTGCTGTCAGTATACTTAAGTCCAGCACCATTCTCTTCCTCCAAATTTGCCACTTCTGATTTGCTCAGAGTTATACAGTAGGTAAAATTACATTTGAAATATCGATACGGGTGGTGAGGTGCAGAGATCAACTTCACTACAGGAGCTTTTTCCAAACTACTCACCCCCATCAACTGAGAATCACTGCCATAGTGAGGGACTATTAATGACATATGTCAGACCCATAAGGCATGTTGGGACAGAAAAAAAGAGGAGAAACATTGAGCTGAAGTAATAGTAAATAAGGGAAGAGCAAAGGGGCTCTTCTTAAATAGACACCTTGTATATAGATTTACAACCAGCCTTGAAATTATAAAGTTGCTAAAACAGTTGCCTCTACACAAAGCCTGCTACAAAACTGACAATTATCTTAAAGTAGTGATCACAAAGGGGCAAGACCCTAAAATCAAGTATAGTGAAGTAAAACAAGATCTCACCTGTACATTCTTATAATCTACACGTTTTCCACACAAGAGGCATTTTTTAAGAGGTTCTTTATAAGGATTTTCCATTGGAATGGGCTAGGATAAACAAAAACATCTGATAATGTACCTTAATGCATCCATTTTGAATTAATATTAAGGTTACCACATTTAAATCCATCCAGAGGATTAGTTGTGCTTTTCTTACTGTATAAAAAAGAATAAATACAACAGCTTGTCTTGTGAAAAATCAAGCACTTTTGAAAGTATTCAGAATTTTAAAGATTTCACTGAGCTTGTATATATGGAAGCACTTTATTTTGTTTCAGTTTAGCTAAGGAGGAATTAACTCATGGAGGATTCTGGCTTTGGAAGAAAAGAGAGATTATAGAAGGAAAAAAAAATTCAAATCTGTGATTGGAAAGTGATTCTCTGCTCAAATGGTTTGCCCAGATTGTAAATAACTGAAAATTATAAATTACAAGAAATTTATTTTAGGACACCTGATATCATACACTAAACAGTATAATTCCTAGTTCATCCATCCCCATGTTTCTCTATCAGATGTTTTATCAATATTTATACTTTATAAACAGATAAGAATAGCTGTGCTAATGGCCCTGTAGCTTACTATAAAAAGGCCTTCTGTCTTCAATTTTATGACCCCGAAGCACTTTATATGTTTGTCAGCCTGTTTTTGGCTTTTCTGTCTTCACTACTGCCTCTGATGCTCCTGTCACAATGCATCCCTCCAAGTGTCTGTGTGGTTGTCTCCAGTACAGAGGTTCTTAATCTAAAAACTGCTTTGAAGTCCATGATCCCTGTAACTATGCAAAATTTCATATGAACAGGACTGTGCCTTTTTCCGAGGAACAGGCCCATAACGTTCATCACTCTCAATGGACTTTGTGACCTGAAAAAGTAACTTCCTTTACTCTTCTGAACTATGGTGTAAATTAGATGATCGAGATGTATGCTTAGAGGGACTAGAAAAGTTCTCTGGTTCTTTCCAACTCCTTAAACTTTCTTAAGAGTCGGTTAAACGCTCGACTACTAGCCAAAAGTTTGGTGGCTGGAACCCATCCAGAGGTGCCTTGGAAGACAGGCCTGGCAATCTGCTTTTGACAGGTCACAGCCTTGGAAACTCTATGGAGTAGTTCTATTCTGCACACATAAGGTCGCCATGAATCACAACTGACTGACAGCAACTAACAACAACAAGCTTTCTTAATTCAATTTACATCCAGCTCACATTATATAACGAGTGACTCTTCCTTTACAACACTGTGCTAAGTGCTTTGTATAGTCTGATTCTTGTTGTTGGGTGCCATGGAGTCGATAGACTCAAAGCGACCCCACGTAACACAGCAGAACTGCCCCATAGGGTTTTCTAGGCTGTAATCTTTATGGGAGCTGACTGCCAGGTCTTTCTCACTTGGAGCTGCTGGGTGAGTCTGAACCACCAACTTTTCGGTTAGCAGCCGAGCATTTAACCATTGAGCCACCAGGGCTCCTCATAATCTGATTAGCGTCAAACAAATTATCTTTGCAAGCAGTAAGAAAACCTATACTGCCCAAGTCCAGTGCTAGTACTTTAAGCCACATCTGCAAGTTAGTAGAAACGCATTTCATGCCCTGGTATAAAGTTTTAACTCTGTTCCTTCATTTATTATGACAGCTCCCCCAGAAGTGATGAATGAGATGAAGACAGGAAAAATGTTGTGAATTCAAAACTAAGAAAAGAGCTGACATATAGCTAAGTTTTGTATCCATCAGTTATGTATAATTATTCCATCCACCAAAACTATCTTTTTTAATTCCCAAATCATATATCCTTAAATTTAAGATTTAGGAAGAAAAATGTGGTTTTACAGAAGCACCCTTGTTAGGAATCTAGCAGTTCTCTTAAAAATCCACTTAAGTGACTAGCCATCAATGAATTACAATTTTCAAACTTAGAGCGATGATTATTATTTTTTCTCTTACAGTTGAACTCTACTTATATAGCTAAGATATAAGAATTTGATCGTAGTTGTGAAGGCCTTATGAATAGGAAGAATAAAATCTCTTACCAGATCCTCATTGCTGGTCGCCTGTTTATATTGTGAACAAGCTCTTCTCCACAGCACTACAATTAAACAGAAATAGCACCAAACCAATTCTTTTTGTGTTGCTAAAGAAATACTTTTGGTTTTATGGAGGCAAGATGAATCAAGAGATACGATATAAAAGAAGGCTTTTATATTCATTATACTCACAATGACTGGATTTAAAACCTTTAGTTTTGACTGGGACACAGTGGGACTTAAAATGGATGTGCTTTCCAGTCTTCGGGGAAAGCGCACATTATTTCCCCACCATATCACCTCTCATCTGCTCTCTTCCTGAAATTTATTTTCCCTTCACTCCATGGTTAGGGACAGATTTTAATGCAAATATTTACAGTAAAAGTAACAGAAAGGCATTGCCATATCAAAAGGAAAATGAATAACAGATCCTCTCCAGAGAGGAGAGAAGCAGAAGACAAAAG